CAAGAAATATAGGGAGGGGTGGGGGAGGGGTGGGGGAGGGGGGAGGGCTACGCACGCTTATAACCTCGAAACTCAGTCTTTTCTCTCTTCCTATTCACATGCTTTATTTTTAGTTATTTCGTTTGGCCCATGCATGCATCCAGATCGATAGATCTAGTTAATACGAACTAGCTCGAGCAATTGTAAAGAAATCTGGCAATGTCTCATGTGACTGTTAAAAAGTCGGGGTAGTCTGACAAACGTTAGACGCGGAATGAATAGAAATTGCTCTCTTTGTAATAAAACGAAATGAAGAGAATGGCTTTTAAAAAAGGAAAAAGAAAACAAAGAAAACAAAAAGGAAAACTGCTTTCGAACCCAGAGAGACTGTTCCCGTTTAAAGGACGGTAAACGACCCATGCAAAAAGGACCGCGTATGAATGATATTTTTAAAGAGAAGAAATTAATAGCTGGGTGTCTCAGGAGTGTCCCAGCTACCGAACTGTCGAACCAGGCAGATTTTTTTTTAAACCGCTGCAATCCATCTTAGAGCTCTGCCTCGACTCCAAATGCGCTAGATCTACATGACCATGTGTATCTTGTGTCAGGACGTCAAGGGTCAAGAAATAAAGACAACGACACCATTAATCGAAGAGCGACTTTGTTGTTCGAGCAATGCTCGAGGAAACCCTCGAATCAATGTAATTGTTCGCACAATAACAAATGCAGGTCTTTGTTAATACGAGTACTTTTAATAATGCTCCGTTTCCATGAAGTTCGTTGCTTGTCCAAATATTCATGTTTTTTGTATGTATGTTTGTTTGTTTGTTTGTTTGTTTGTTTGTTTTATTTGGTAAGTGTTTTACGGCGCTCGCAACTACAAAATGTTCATTTTTGAAATGTTCCAATCAGGAAAACACAGCCATAACATGCCTTAATATGATCTCAATAATGTAAGATACATGATGTAGCTAACTAAATCCATTATTCACGTTGTAAACTATACTTCTGCATAGCTTCCTTTTCACTCGATCGGTAAAAGTTCACAGATCTCAGACACCCCCCCC